ACTATACTCGGAATTTTAATTCGATTCCAGATTTGACAATTTCAGTGTTGCAACGTTATGACAAGTACTAAATAGTGACGTTGCGAAATTATTCGATATGGAAATGCAATATTTCTGGATCGATTCTTCTCGTTTATAATTTTACTTCCGTAAACTAAGTATATCAGGAAATTAAATATTTCTGAACCGATCATTTAGTTTTGACGATTAATTAACGATCTGAGACTTTTCTTTTATAATTGTGTGAAATAAATAAAAAAATGTAATCATGAAGGAACATAGATGAACAGATAGATGTATTATGGTAATAAGTTATTTTATAATTTGTCGCCGTCGTCGCTATCGCTATCCTGTCACTTTCTGTAACATTTATTATAAAACACACACTGTTTGTTTATCGATTTTTGTGTTCATCACTACACTATTATATGTGGTATCATTATTTCACAAAATGACAGTAGCTATTGTCAAATCTGGAATGTAATTAAAATTCTGACTATAGTTTTACGTTTTATTTATATTTATTCTTAGTTTTTTTTTAGCGACCTGCCGTCCGTTGTCGATGTCGCGTCTTAAGGTAACCGATTGAACAATTCAAAAGTTATCTAGAGCAAACTTTTATAAGGATTGAACCATTCATTAAAACGATTGTTATGGGTAAACTATAAAAGGTAGACATATGCTCTCGCGGACTTTTTTAAAAATAATGTTAAGATGAATAATTCATCTATAGAGCATTTTTGTATAACTTTAACTATATGCTCAGCGCACGCCACGGAAGGCCTCAGAAACGATACTTTTCCCCCGTTTTTAAAACATTTTTGGTTACTGCTCCACAACTATAGGACCTAGCGTGATATTATATAGCCTATGTTACTTCTGAATAATGCAGCTTTCTAATGGTGAAAAAATTATTGCAATCGGTCCAGTAGTTTTTGAGTTTATTCATTACAAACATACAAAAATACAAATCTTTCCTTTTCCTTTTTATATAGTATATACTATAGACTAGTATAGATATAGATACGTATGTGTTACCAATTTCCTCTTTTTGAGAATCGTCGTTTTTTAGGTAAAGTGAAAAAAGTCGTCAGGATCTAGTGATATGGAATCCCAGGGAATTCAAAGGCAATCTTTAGGACCGTCGTAGGTAGGTCCTACCTATTTATAATGGTTTTAATTTATAAGTATGAATTCATTATATTTTATTTGTGTCCCGTGATCCAGTTCTTCTCTTTGGTCTATATGGGGAAATATGTATAATCAACCTGGCTGGTACCTATAACCTACAAGCCTATAATAATATATATGTGTGACATACATATTAAATATTACATAGATAACTCATACAACTGCAAATAAAATGTAAAAAACCGTAACGAAATCGAAATACCATTTTGAGTAATTCAAGGACAAATGTAGATAAACGAGTTGGGTAAACAAACTTCCGTTATTGTGTCAGAGTTGAGAGATTTCAATAGGTACTTGATAAAAATAACAGTGGATATGAGATACATATTACTTTAATACAAAAAAATTAATAAATAAATGCGCCGTTTGCGGGCCTCTGCCGCGGAAGCGGCCGCACAAGAGCGCATGCAGCGGTACTTAGAAGATGTGATGGCGCATGGGTCGTCGTCCTACATGTCGCGTCCCACACCAAAGACCTACCCATCGTCCAAGGCAGCAACGACATACCATGTGGTCTCTTGCCGTCATCACGTACCATTAGGTCCTAATACGGCTGGTACACCGTCTGAGGCAAGAGCACAACGAATGATGTCGTTGATGCTGGCATGGCGAGCTATGTCGCCTACACTTCTGCAACAAGAAAGACCATGGTGTCCCAAGCTATCGACTCTTTCTACACAGTCACAATAATGCGGAGAAACACAAGGAACACCTAAACTTAATAATAGGTATGTATTAATAAAAATGATTTTATTGGCATTAAGATTAGAGTATTTACAAAAGTAAATCGTGCCCACTGATCATTCTTCTTAAATTATAAGAGACCTAACCATAATAAGGATAAACTTTGGATAAACCATAATTAATCCAGATGTAGTCGCCCAGAAGAAAAAGAGGAAAAACAATTATAAAAGTACTTTAAGCTTTACCGAGGTGCAGAATAAATAGAGGAACTATCACATAGATAAGTAAGTAGGTAAAGAAGTACCTAAGTAGGTAAGGTAGACCTACAACAATTAAATTTCCTTGTTGCATAGTGCTGGTGCATCGACATCTATTTAGGGTAAAACGTCTGAATGTATATTATCGTTTGTTTGACATAGTAGATATAATTGTCTAATTGATACATAGTAAATTATAGAATTGAAGCGGTAGTAGGGGAACGTAAGAGGGAAACATTTCAAAGGAACAAACGAATAAGGGAAAGATAAAGATCAATCAAAGAACAATCTTTAGATAAGATATAAATATACAGTATAACTTAATGGCGTAAGCTGTGGTGTTGTATATGTACATTTTCTAAAAATAAATAAATAAGATTGTAAATATTCCCAGATAACCTCACTCTTCAACACTCTACCATAGACAAATTAAACAACAAGAACAAAGACATCGTAAAACGATATAAACAAGACATTTCTTATCTTTAAAAATAACATTTGAATGTATCAACACATTTTAATTTATTCGAAGTGAACAATATTTGGTTCTGTTTTTAAGCAATCGTCAATGCAGGCTGATAATGATAATGTTTTTATATACTGGCAACAATGTTAGTGCAAAATTGTCTATGGTTGGTGATTTCTTCTTGAGTACGATTATGTACTTACGGCTTTTTAGGTCTTCGTACATGAATCCTGTTTTGCACTTTGTCTGCAGTAGTGGCACGTCCGTTGTGCTGGAACGACCTGAGAGTCGTATTGTAAAGTCGTGCATTTCTATAAATAGATTAAAGAATTGTACAAAGCATGTGAGTACTTAACATATTTAGTTTCTTAAATTGTTTATGTTAGAAGACTTTAAGTAAATATTATATAAATCAAAGCATAAGATAATGTATTAGAACATAATTATAACGCCAACAATTTTGCATCGATTCGCCATCCTTGTCGCACGATCTCCTTGTGATATGTAAAGAGAATCGGCGCGTGCGCAGCCTGGTTTGTTGTGTGCCGGCTCTGTAATTAGAAACTACGTAATATAAATTTATCAAAACATTAGCCTCTCATTCTACGTGTAAATAGCTGAAAGTAAGTGTTACCTATAGGCTAAATTATGCTACAAATGAATGAATTTTCGAATAAAATAATAATGATTAAATGAATACGTAATTTCTAGTGAAACGTATCATTCTTATAATTTTTTGTCACTATTATAATCAGATATCTGAAGTAGGTAGGCTAAGATACGATAGGCAATAATTACTGAGACTGATAACATCAAGATAATATACGGTGCCGCCGCCGCGCCGCCGCCGCGCCGCCGCCGCGCCGCGGCCACACTTGTCCTGTTTAATTTACTCTACCTATTACCGAACGCGGACAGGAACACACGCAGCGATAGCGCGGCCGCGGCGCAGTAGCGGCACAGTGTGTGTACGAATTCAAATATTTCATTAGTACATCTTCAATTTTTTATTTATCTACCGGACGATCTAGAAGTCATTGGGGAGACCTATATGTTCGATATGTTCCGTGGTTCGACCTATGTTTGACCATTGGACGACTCGAGGCATGAATGATGACTGATATTTTAATTTTAACGAACCCTTTACTTAGTATACCTAGTACCTATTGTAATTTTACTCTCAGTTTCAACGAATTACCATTTGTAGATTTGTTTACTTGAGATGGAGTTTCGACATTAATGTATCTAAATTCGGTCTGTGAGTATCCTCAGTCTATCTTTAGTCTTACAATATAAACAAATAAAAAAATAGATGGATTGTGCCTGGCCGTAAAAAACTAAATTATTAATTTAAGAACACTGAAACTGACTTATGTTCTAGGTATATTTAATAATTTTTAATTATTGAATGAATTTAAGCATGAATTTAAGCACTAGAACTTAATTTTAGTACTAGAGTCTAGAATACAGGTTTAACTAAATTTAACCGCAACATTCTGTTGAACTGCTTACGTTTTAATCCAGTTAATTTTATTATTTTTAGTTACAATGACAGCGTTAACTTCAGACAAACGTCTTGAGTTGAGTGCAGTCGAATTACAGCAGGAGTATTATGAAACGATCGGTGATGCTGACTGGGAACTGTAAGTATGAACATCATATTTTTATATTCTTACTAGGTATTGTAAGATTTATTTTATATATTCTTACTATTGTAGCGTTATTACGCTAGAAGCTTTTCTGTGGTTTACTTTTCTGTGGTGTGGTATTTACAAGCACAAATACACATTAGGTACACTAAGACCTACATATAATAATAATCTGTTACTTCACAAATCATTTCTATTAATGTGGCAATCAATTCTTAACCAGTCGCCCATTTGCGACAATTATCTATCTGACTGACTCGCCTCACTAGTATCAAATTAATCCAGGATGGTTTTATCTCAGCCATGTATTCGATCTTTAGTGGCCATTATTAAGTCCAATGCTGCATCATTGATATAAGCTTAAAAATAATTGGATTGTAAATTTTGTATACCTATGTATATTGATGAATATAAAGTTTGGGATTACATATACTTTTATACCCTTTTTATAAACTGGGCTTGTTTACAGAGTTGTATCTGTGGTTGCGGCTACTGGATTATAATAATAATACTAATTATGTGGTAATACTTATTAATAAAACCCACCATCACTTTTTTTGTTATTCCCTACCTACCTACTGTTGAATCATGACTATATCTCTTTCGAATAATAATATTATGTTTACAAGTCAATAAATTAATTATCTTGAGGAAAATAAAGTTCTCTAAACTATTCCAAGCAAGTAGTATCCACTGAGTTAAAAATAATTCTGAAATATTGCTAAAGTAAGTGTTTTAACCTTGATTTAATTGCTGGTGATCTGTTGCTGTTCGTACGGAACAGATGTAATATTCACAAATTCAATAGATTTA